ATGAGAGTGAGTGTGAGTGTAAGTGTAGGTGTGGGTGAGTGAGTGTTTCCTTGCCACAAACTAAAACCGACACTCACACCCACAGCCACACCCACACCCACACCCACACCCACACCCACACCCACACCCACACCCACACCCACCACACCCACACCCACACCCACACCCACACCCACACCCACACCCACACCCTCAAGACAGAGTGACGGTAAGAGAAGAACACAGCTCCCACACCGACTCTCTCATTCATCTTGGAAAGAAGTACTTTAGGCAAGTGGGTCCTTAAACAGATAAAATAAAAGTATCTATTTTTGACGTAGATCATTTTAGAGATCAGTTATGTGAAAACGTTGAATATAATCACGAAATTTAAATGGTTCGGTTTGTTCTATATTTCTCATAATGCTTGGATAATTAACTCCGTAAAGGACGAATTTTTTAGCTATAGCTTTGTCGAAATATCAGCTTTTAAACAAATAGTTTTCCATAATGCAATTTTTAAATTATCATCAAGTAAGGAACCAACCGTCCAAAATACACCGAACATGAGTACGGCGCTGATCAAACGAACATCGGACCAATTATAACCTCTTTCCTCTACAAAAGATTTCAGTTGATTCGTCAGTTGCTCTCGAGACAGATTATTGTGATCTCTTTTATGAAATACTACCCCATTATTAAATCCAACAATGCTTTGATACAACTTTGCCCAATCGTAAATTGGATCTCCACAAGTAGTGAAACGTTTCCACAAAGATCCTTTCATATCAATGAATTTTACGTGTTTATCACTCTCTGCAAGAATATTCGCAAACCAGAAATCACCGTGGATACATGAGCTTCGTTTAAGTCGGTCTGAACTAAGATATTCCTCTAATTTCGTTAGAAGATTCGTAAACACCATATCACGTTCATTCTTAGGCACAAATGAATAGTGCTGAGGGTGGTTCGTGTAACGGTCAACCATCTTGTCAATATAATTCGCGCGAATGTGGCAATCAAGGTTTTGACATAATGGTAGATTGACGTTATGGAGAGCATTAGCCGAGGTTAGAATACGATAAAATAAATCGGTAGAAACTACGCTATGAAAATAAATCAAGCTCATTGGTACACCCTTCACATATTGTAACTTCATTGCGCTAATATCTTCTCCTTTCTGCTCAATACCATAAAATGCGGGGAAATAGCTTTTAATTGATGCCATCTGGGAATTCTCTTGAAGCTGCTGATAAAAATATGCTTCTCCTCGAAGTGCACTGGTTGGACCCTCTTTTAAAACAATACTGTTCGAGTAAAGAGCATGATGATTATGAGAAGTACATTGTAGGAATGGAGTACCTGACATTCCATGAGGAATATGGGTCATCTCCGAATATCGATAAAATCCCATTCCTTTAGCAGCAGATGGATCCCAAGGATTAACTGCGCGATCATCGATATAAATATCAGCTATTGGCTTTCCGAAGATGATTTCATCGTAAGGAGTAACAAATTTTTCTAACGTATCAAATGTAACTCATGCAACGTCGGCAATTACCTTCCCTACATTCGATTTATGACTAAACACTCGGGTGTGGGTGTGAGTGTGGGTGGGTGTGGGTGGGTGTGGGTGTGGGTGTGTGGGTGGGTGGGTGTGGGTGTGGGTGGTTGTGGGCGTGGGTGTGGGTGGTTGTGGGCGTGGGTGTGGGTGTGGGTGTGGGTGTGGGTGTGAGTGTGCGTGTGGGTGTGGGTGTGGGTGTGGATGTGGGTGTGGTGTGGGTGTGGGTGTGGGTGTGAATGAAGGTGTGGGTGTGGGTGTAGGTGTGAATGCTGTACTTCTAACATATCCACATTAACATTATCACCCACACCCACACCTTGACACCTACATCCACCCACAACCACACCCACCCACCCACACCCACACCTTGACA